AGGGAGGGCTGCTTCCACTGTGGGGTGTAGGAGCCAGGGCTTGACAGTGAACACTGGAGCTTGGTTGAGCACAGATTCTGCAACCAGGAAATCTACCAGGTTCCAGACCTGGAGGAAGTCCACCAATCAGGTAGGTGTCTGGGAAAAAAAATCAGGAAAAGCTGAAGAAGATGCATGGACATGTAGCAGAGGATTTGTTTACTAAGTCTCTGACCTGTGTGAGGCTCTGCTTGGGGTGGAAGGCGTACTTACTTTGGGTGACAGAGGAAGCTTCCTGGAGGAGATAGTTTATGAATGAGACTTCAAAAGGCTCAGGCCTATCATCCTAGTTACTCAGGAGGCTGAGATCTGAGGGTCACAGCTCAAAGCCAGGCCTGGCAGGAAAGTTCATGAGACTCTGATCTCCAATTAACCACCAGAAAACATAAGTGGAGATGAAAGTGGTAGCGCACTAGCCTTGAGCAAAAGAGCTCAGGGAACAGGCCCTGAGTTCGAGCCCCATGACCAAAACAACAACAACAACAACAAAGAAATCCTCAATATTGGAGCATACACACACACAAAAACAAGTTGAGGGAGAGATGTTTGGGGAGGGAGTAATAGATAAATAAGAGACATGATTGGGAAAGATACATGAAGAAAGAAATAGGAAATGAATGGATTTACTTGAGAGAGTCTATCAAGGGAAAGTCATTAGGGTTTGATGATTGCATGAGCAAAATGGAAGCTGGGTAGGGGGATAATTACAGGAGATTTGATGAAGGCTTTGAGCCTCAGTGACTAGAAGAATAATTACACCATTGGCAGAAACATGAGAATTGCTTTGGACATTTTAGTTAAGGCAGGAGAATCTGTTTTGAGTGTATGCACTTAGAGCTGGAGGTGTGACATTGGTGGATATTGCAGAAGATCCTTAGCATCTAGCCAGTCTCTGAGTAACTTTTTGTGTAGGCTCATCTGTGCCCATAACCTTGAGCAAAACCAGGCTAAACCAAGTCTATTTTCTTTCTTTCATTCATTTTTCTATCTCTTTTTTCCTCCCTCCCTCCCTCCCTTCCTTCCTTCCTTTCCTCCCTCCCTCCCTTCCTTCCCTCCCTCCCTTCCTTCCTTCCTTTCCTCCCTCCCTCCCTCCTTCCTTCCTTTCTTCCGCTCTTCTCCTCCCCCCCCCTTTCTTTTCTTGTGCCAGTTTGTTTGTTTTTTTGCCAGTCCTGGGGCTTGAACTCAGGGTCTGGGCACTGTCCCTGAGCTTCCTTTGCTCAAAGCTAGCACACTACCACTTGAGCCACAGTGCCACTTCTGGCTCTCTTTTTGGTTTGTTTATGTAGTATACTGAGGAATGGAATCCAGGGCTTTATGCATGCTAGGCAAGCACTCTACCACTAAGCCACATTCCCAGCTCACTCCTGGGGTTTGAACTCAGGGCCTGGGTGCTATCTGTGAGCTTTTGTGTTCAAGGCTAATGCTCTACCACTTGAGCTATAGCTTCACTTCCAGCTTTTTGCTGGTTAATTGGAGATAAGTGTTTCACAGAATTTCCTGCCTGGGATGGCTTTGAACTATGATTCTCAGATCTCAGCCTCCTCAGTAGTTAGGATTACAGGTGGAAGCCACTCGTGCCTGGCTTGATTTCCTTTTCTTTTGCAGCAAGGTCTTCCTGTGTAGCCCACATTAGCCTTGACCTGAGAGCCTCCTGTCTCTGCCTACCAAATGCTGGGATTATAGGTATATACCCATCATGCCATAAACTTATGTTCTGAAGGGTCTGCTTACCTGAGTTACAGGTGTCACATCACAGAAATCTCATGTATCACCATTTGTGAGTGTGTGATATGGTCAAAGTCGAGCTAGTGGACCTAGTAAGAATTAGCTAGAGTTTGGGCTTGTACACAAACTTCCCCTAAGAAAGCTGATTATCCTTCATGCCTTCCAATGGTGGAACCTGGTCTCTACTATATCACAGAGAATGGGAGAGTTTGGGATGCTATTACTTTTTTAAATCTTTATTAAAATTTTTGTTGGTTGTAAGGCTTGAATTCAGGGCCTGGGCACTGTCCCTGAGCTTTTCTGCTCAAGGCTAGTGCTCTACCTACCACTTTGAGCCACAGCTCCACTGCTGATCTTCTGGTGGTTAATTGTAGATGAGTTTCATGAACTTTCCTGCCTAGACTGGCAGGAACTGTCATTCTCAGATCTCAGCCTCCTGAATAACTGGGATTACAGGTATGAGCCACCAGTGCCCAGAGCATACATGTTCTTAAGGAATATGATTTGACCTCTTTGGTTTAATCCAAGAAAGACCTTGTATGGGAAGGGAACCACTGCACCAGCAAATTACTTCCTAATGGTTTATGTGGAAGTATGGCACAATTTTCATCTGATTAATAACTTCTGCTGACTTCATATAACTCTGCTTCCATTTTTTTCTTCTTTCTTTCTTTCTTTCCCTCCCTCCCTCCCTTCCTTTCTTTCTGTTTCCTGGAAGTACAAGTGTTTGAAATCAGGGTCTTGAACTTGCTAGGCAAGTACTCTACCACTTGAGTCACACCCCAGCAAGGGGAGTCTAGGCTGATGTTAAATTCATGATCCTTCTGTCTCATCAACTCTTTGACTGTGATTGTGGCTACCATGACCAGCTTCTGCTTTGTTCTGAGGCTGTATCCCATCTTTGTTGAACTGTTTTCCATGGATTGGGCATATAAAAAACAGGAGATAGGCTGTGTGGCTCACTCCTAGCTACTGAGGAGGCTGAGATCTGAGGATTGTGGTTCAAATCCAGCCTGGGGAGGAAAGTCCGTGAGACTCTTATCTCCAATTAACCACCAGAAAACCAGAAGTGGTGCTGTGGCTTAAGTGGTAGAGTGCTCACCTTTAGCTGAAGAGCTCAGGGACAGCGCGCAGGCCAAGAGTTCAAGTCCCATGACCGACCAAAAAAAAAAAAAAAAGCAGGCAGGAGATGGGGTAAAATTTGCTGTTACCCTCTCCAGCCCAAGGGCCCATCATTTCTAGAGAGGAAGCTCGATAACCTGGAGGAAAGAGATCAGTACATGGCCTTTGACACTTCTAGGGCTTTGCCTAGCAAACTAAGCCTAAGCATTAAGATGGGGCTAACAGGGATTGGGGGTGTGGCTCAGTTGGTAGTTAGCCTGTGAGTAAAAGTGGCAGGTACTAAGAGTCCTGGTCTCAAACCTAAAAAAAAATGGGGGGGGGGGCTCACACATTGACTCTTAGGTGAACTGTGTAGGAGGTCATCAACCTGGAAGATGACACTAACATTTTCAGAGGGGCCTGGTTAGCCATTAGATGACTGTTTCTTAACACTTCAGCCAGGAGCCAGAACAAGAGCTACAAACTTTGTTTATGGTTTCCTCTTGGAGTAGGTCTATTCCATCTTGGCACCAGGTTTCAGGAAAGTCTTCATGAGTCATCTCCCTGCCTGAGATCTCATCAGCCTGAGAATAGCTTCTCAGGGAAGCAGAGAGCCTGAGTTTCCAAGATGTCTCAAGGCAGTGGACAATTGGAAAGTGGATAAAACCTGCTTGGGTTTAAACCTTAGTACTTCCATGTTTCATTGTATATGTATATATATATATATATATATATATATATATATGAATAATATAAGTAATATAGTTAAAGAAAGCACTTAGCACAGTGCTCTAGACCAATAGCTATTAGTACTCTCCTGCCCCACCTTTTTTTGTGCCTGTACTAGAGCTTGAACTTGGAGCCTGGGCACTGTCCTTGAGCAGTTATTCTCAAGGTTAGCACTCAACCAAGGTTAGCACTCTCCACTTTTGGCATTTTGTGGTTAATTGTAGGTAAGCGTCTATGGACTTTTCCTGATCAGGTTGGCCTTGAACTGTGATCCTCAGATCTCAGCCTCCAGGGTAGCTAGAATTACAGGTGTGAGCCACCAGTGTCCAGCACCTGCCCCCTTTTATGTGCTAGAATTGAGACTTGAATTCAGGGTCTCATACTGTTGCTTGGCTTTTTTGTTCAGGCTGGCATTCTACCACTTCAGTCACATTTCCACTTCTGGAGTTTTGCAGGTTAACAGGAGATAGTCTCATGTCTTTTGGTCTGCCTAGACTTATTTTGAGCCAGGATCCTCAGATCACAGCTTCCAGAGTGCTAAGGAGTATAGGTGTGAGCCTCTAGTGTCAACCAAACTCCCCTTCTTGATGTTGGTATAATAATGGATAATTCAGTGGTGTGGCTTCTGGAGTCAAACAACTCAGCATGTGTGAGTCTGAATCTTGAGTCCTCTTTTTAGTAGAGTGACCTTGGGCAGCTTCATGTTGGGGATTCCTCATTTTGTAAAAATGGGAATAACATTCCCTTTTTTCACAGGGTCACTGGGAAGATGAAATAATGCAGAACAAGGGTTTGACACAACTGCTAGAGTACTGAAAAAGTGAATTATTTCTCCCCCCCCCCCAATTTAGACTCCTTTGGAATTCAGTTCAGCTCTTTTCCCCACAAGGCCCATTAATACCTCTCTGATCTTCAGTGGTGTGGGTACCTCTTGTAATCCATCTTGCATTGCTTCTGTTTATGTCCACCTCCCAGAAAAGAGGGTTTTCTAGGCTCACCTTGAAGGTGTCCTACACGTTGTTGTAGATCCAGTAACCCCACAAAACCAGTGCATGCAGCACTGAATTTAGAAATGTGTCCTAGAAGACACAGCAAAAGTTCCTACAATTTGTTTTAAAAATAACTCAATTTCCTACTCCCCGAACAGTTAGTTGCCTATGCTTTTTGAGCTTAGAAGGCCCTCCGCACCACTAGGGCACCCCTTTCCCAATGGCCCAGTTTCTAAAAACCCGAGGCCTTTCACAACCCCACCATTCCTGGTATCCGGAGGCGCCTGCGCAGAAGGACGCTCGCCGGCTGACGTCAGCGCGTCGGTCTGAGGCCAGCCTTCCTGGGACGAACCTCTCCCCCGCGGCCCCGCCCGGCCCGCCCCCGGCCCTCCCGCGCATGCTCGGAGCCCCGCCCCCGTGCGTCACAGAATGGCCTCCGACACCCAGGCAGCCCCTGACGTGTCGGGGAGGAGCCGGGCGCGGAGGTCCGAGCGGTGGAGCTCAGGGCTGCCGAGACTCGAACGGAGCCGAGAGGCTGGGCGGGCCTGGCCAGGCCAGCGGAGCGGAGACGTGGGTCGAGCGGTGGCGAACATGCGCTTTTGACACACTGGAGGTGAGCTGGCTGTGAGGGGCCGCTCCCGGAGGGCCCCGATCCGGGGTGGCGGCGCCGAGGCCTGGCCCCGGGGGGAGCCCGTCGGGGCCGGGGGCTGTGTCTGAGGCGGCTCCGCCGGCCCCGGCGAGGACCGGGTTCTGGGGCGGAGGTTCTTGGGGTGCAACTGTTCCAACCGCTCCAACTGCTCCCCCCCCCCTCCCCGGCCCAGCCCACCCCGGGCCGAGGTGTGGCCCACCAGGGGTGGGGGGGGGCGTCTGCCAGTCAGCCAGCCCCAGAGGAAGTGCTCCGGCGTGGGGACGGAGGCCGGGACGTGGCACCGTGGGTGCGGGCGCGGGTGGCGCCGGCAGGGGCCCAGCTGGAGTGGCAGCGGCACGCCCCGCCCGCCTGCCCGCCCGCCCTCCGCACCCTCTGGGCTCCTCTTTCCCCGCGTGGGGGCCAGGAAGCGTTCTTGTGACTCTCCGCCCCGAATTGCGATCCCCTCTCCTTCCCCCCCCCCCCCCCGGAATTCAAGGAAATGTCACCTACAGGTTCGAGGTGCTTGTGTGTCCTCCCCCCCCCCCCCTTCCCCTTCCCCTTTTATTTTCCTGGTAAATGACGAGGACACCCTATAAGTTTTGTCAAGAAAGTGAAGTGATACTCACTCGTGATTATTCCGTTGCATTCCCGTAGCGCCCAGACGTACACATTTCAGAACATTTGCGACCTGCAGTTGTGACCCAGCTTGTCTGTCGGTCCGTCCCCGTCCGTCCGTCGCCTTTCGCTGCATGGGGAGATTGAACCCTAGGTAGAGGGCAGTTAAGTGATTTATATTTGAGCTTTAGCCAAACGGTGAGGGGTGCTGCTTTTTTTACATTTCTAGGCTCAGAGTTTCGGTTTCTTTAATTTTGTGAGGGTGTTTGTTTGTTTTTGGTACCTTTCTGAGCTAGAAAGTAAGGCAGAAAATTTGACTCGTGAAAGCTATACCAGAAGCTAGAAATGATTTGTTCAGTAATTTTTTTTTTTTTTTTTTAGCAAACTTCATGGAAGAATTGTGCAGTTATGAGAAAAATCTTACTCTGAAGCTTGTTCATGGGTGGCTGTTTATTTTGCCTGATGAATTATGTTGGTTTCAGTGCACGTTAGCGATAGAGTGATGTTTTTGCTAAATCATGAAGTTGATGGAGTGAAATGCACCAGTAAGGAGGGAAGAGAAGCAAAAGACCACTGAATAAGAGGCATTTTTTTCTGAATTATTATTAATAATTTCAGTATTTTTATTTAAAATCGGAATGCACAAGGAGCAAACAAAAACAAAAGCTTTAGCTAGTCCTTGTTAGAAGTTAGCTAGCATCTGGCATATAGAAACTGCTACATCTGGGGACTGGGTAGGTGGCTCAGTGGTAGAGCGCTCGCCTTGCATGCTTAAGGCCCTGGGTTCGATTCCTCAGCACCACATAAGCAAAAAGAAAAAAGCCAGAAGTGGCACTGTGGCTCAAGTGGTAGAGTGCTAGCCTTGAGCTGAAGAGCTGAGGGGCAGTGCCCAGGCCCTGAGTTCAGGCCCCATGACCCAATCCCCCCCCCTCCTGGCCCCCCCCCCCCCAAAAAAAAAAAAACCCTGCTACATCTGTAGATCATTTTTTTTTTTTTTGGTGCTAGTACTGGTGCTTGCACTCAGGGCCTGGGTACTCAACTCTAGTTTGCCATACCACTTGAGCTACAAGTTCACTACTGGCTTTTTGGTGGCTAATTGTAGCTAAGAGTCTAATAAACTTTCCTGCCTGGGCTAGCCTTGAACTGCTATCCTCAGATCTCAACCTCCTGAATGGCTAGGATTATAGGTGTGAGCTGGCTGGCTATAGCTCAGTTTTGAATGTACGTGTGTGTGTGTGTGTGTGTGTGTGTGTGTGTGTGTGTGTGTGTGTGTGTGTGTTGCTGGCTATAGCTCAGTTTTGATTGTACGTGTGTGTGTGTGTGTGTGTGTGTCTGTCTGTCTGTCTGTGTCTGCTGTCTGTCTATCCTAGGGCTTGAACTCCAGGTTCTTTGCTCAAGGCTTACACTCTATCACTTGAGCCATAGCCCATTTCTGGCTTTTTTGGTAGTTTAGTGGAGGTAAGGGTCTCACAGACTTTACTGCTCTGGTTGGCTTCAAACCTCTATCCTCAGATCTCAGTCTCCTGAGTAGCTAGAATTACAGGTGAAAGCTACTGGTGTCTGGCAGTTTTGACTTTTTTTAGTTATATAAGTTGAAGTTGATTAAGGAGAATTTGAAATAAGAGAAACTTCAATAAAACATAGATCTTGCTTTCATGGCATCTACAAAATGGTTTAAGTTAATTCTTAGATCAATTTGATTAAATAATAATAATTTTTTGATAGTAAGGTTTGAACTCAGGGCCTTAGGTTTGCTAGGCAGGTACTTGAACTATGCCTCTAGTCCTTAAAATTACTTTTGGTGTAAGTTTCTAAGAACTCCATAAGATAGAAAAAGAAGTTTGATAGGACAGAAAGGGAGACTTTATTTATGATTGACTTTGAAAGTTAATACTGTAAATGTAACTGCATGGGGTTATAAAACCTAGTCAGTCCATTCTTTATTTGTAAACAAGACACTATCATATAAAATAGATTTTCATACCACTACAAAGAATTGCTTCCTTGTAGATAAGGCATTTTCGACAGGCTGGTTTAAACTAAGTGAGTTAACTGTTGTTAAATATCTGGAGGTCATTAGTATATAATGCTTGATGTAAAAGTTATAATTTTGAGACTTATACTCTACATGTAGGAGACAGAATATTAAAGGGAAGATTGGGAAGAGCAATGGATACTCCATTATCTGTGTTTATTCTACCTTTAGAACTGTAGATTTACCATATAAGCATTTTTTTTAGCAGTATATTTTTCTATTGGCTACCCTTCCATGGCCATATCTCCTGTTACATAGTTTCAAATGACAGACTGAATATATCCTCCCAATGTAACTTGAGGCTGTGCCTGAACCAGTCTTGTGATTATCTGCAGTGGTAGCACATTTTTGTTTTTGTAGACAACTTGGTTTTAAAAAAGGGTTAGCAGGGCACTGGTAGCTCATGCCTGTAATCCTAGCTACTCAGGAGGCTGAGATCTGAGGATTGAGATTCAGAGCCAGCCTAGGTAGGAAAGTCCATGAGAAGCTTATGTCCAATTAGCCACCAGAAAACTGGAAGTGGCACTGTGGCTCAAGTGGTAGAGCGCTTGCCTTGAGCTGAAGAGCTCAGGGACAGCACCCAGGCCCAGAGTTCAAGCCCCACGACTGATCAAAAAAATTAAAAAAAATAATAAAGGGTTATAAATCTGATGAATGAGAGTGAAAAACCAGATTGAGGAAGCAATAAATAAGGTGTGTGAACTTTTTGCCTAGTTTTTAATCTAGCACATAAAAGGCTTTTCCTAAGTGTTTTCAGTACTGCTGATATCCCTGGAATATGAACTAAACTCCCTGAAATGATTAATTTTACATAATAATTGGCATGTTTAAAAAAATTTTTGGCTGGGTGCAGGTGGCTCACGCCTGTAATCCTAGCTACTGAGGTGGCTGAGATTTGAGGACTGTGGTAAAAGCCAGCCCAGGCAGGGAAGTTCATGAGACTTTTATCTCCTCCAGTTAACTAGCAAAAGGCTGGAAGTAGAGGTATGGCTTAAGTGATAGAGCACCAGCCTTGAATGGAAAAGCTAAGAGACTGAGTGCCCATGCCTTGAGTTCAAACCCCAGAACCAATGCACTTACATTCACACATTCAAATTTGAAGTCTACTATGTGGTCAAATTTCAAAGGTCTACTACTGAATTGTTAACTTTGTGTGTGTGCATGTGTGCGTGAGTATGCATGTGTCTGCTGGGGCTTGAACTCAGGGCTTGGGCTCTGCTCCTGAGCTTTTTTTTTTTTTTTTTTTTGCTTAATGCTAGTGCTTGAGCCACAGTTAATTGAAGATAAGAGTCTCACAGACTTTTTTGCCTGGGCTGTCTTTGAATAGCGATCCTCATATTTCAGACTTCTCAGTAGCTAAGATTACAGGCATGAGCCTCCAGCTCTCAGCTGAATTGTCAACTTTTTTTATAGTGTAAAGAACATTTATGCTATGTTCATTTTGTGCCAGGCTCTGTTTCAAGTACTTTACATGACTGGTTTTGTAGCACAGTGGTCGAACATTTGGCTGACATGCCCAAGTAATTTTACAAATACTCAGTCTCTGTTAGGTGACTTCATTTTAGTGTTTATTCTCATTTTATAGTGAGAAATTGGGATACTGAATAATTCAATTACCTAAGCCAACATAGGCTACTTGGCTTCAGGATCTGGGTTCTTAACCAGGCTGCGCTGCTGATCCTCACACCTGTTTTTGGATAAATGCTTTTAATTGATTTGCTCTGGAAAAGATGGACATTTTAGTAAGAAATTTCTGGTATAGGTTATAATACAGCTTGAAGAGCTAAGAAGCAAGTGGAGAAAATGACCTGTGGATTAGAAAAATTGTGGCCAAAATTCAGCTCACATGATTCATTAAGAAAACTAAGGAGTTAAGGAGCATGTATGAAATAGAAACATTAAAATAATTTTGGTAGAATTATTTGATACCAATGTAGTTAGATAAAGAGTATGGAAGAACTAAAACTAGATCCTTAAGAAGTTTAATGCAAAAGATTCCTTAAAACATGTATCATAAGGGGATACTGATGGAAAAGTTGATCATTGTATTAAGAATATGTGCCTGGTAGAATCAGTGGAAAGCGGGTAAAAAAAATACAGCAGAGGAGTCCATCAACTACATTGGACTTTGATAAAAGTGAACTAAGCAACTCAAAAGTGATGGGAGGGAGGGAATGAGAGAGAAAGAGGGAACAGCTGATACTAAGCAAAAGGAAAGAAGTGTACATATCATCTGATTTGTAAAAAAGTAGTTTTATTGTTAAAGGTCATAGAGTTCATAAACAATGTAGATTAAGATAAAAATGACTATGATTATGCAGATTAAAAGGTATTT